TCAGCGATTTATCTCTAAAAGCATATTTCAGCAGCTTACATGACGTATCGAAGGTTTTCGTTGCTGCGAACGACTCATGACTCATGACAATAAGTGAGGATGAGGATAAAAATCAACTTGAACATAGACAGCTGAGTCTTCAGACTCGACTCTGTCTTAGTCACAACGATTCGTTCTAGTTCACGCAAAACGTTGACGCCGCTAGTCATTCCAAACACACGATTACGGGGGCTTCTCCGCTTGTCCGCAAAGCACAGCGCGCAAGGGAACTGGAAAGTACTAGGCTTTTCCTCTGCACATGCGGGCCACGCCTCACTTGGCTGCGAACTTTTCCAGATAGTGTAGGAGATCGGTTTCAGAAGATGCCGACAAAGCAAAGTCGTCTGCAAACAGAAGCCTTCTCGTTTCTACATCCCTAACGCTGATACACTCGCCGCCTTGTCGGCGCCTGTCTGTCCTATTCATGCACAACACAAACAGAAAACGGGATTAAGCGCACCTTATTAAGTGAAGAACAGTGCCAACGCTGAAACGTCTCAACTTAACGCCTTTACTCTTACGCAGCACCTGACCTGCTATCAACATGTAGTGACAGGATCGCTAGTAGCACTGGCCATCAATCCCATACTTAGAAGGCATGTCCATAGACTGTTGCACGGGATCCGGTCACAGGCTTTCTCCAGGTCCACAAAGCACACGTATTTCGGATGATCGCCCTCCCAAGATTTCTCGGCAATCTGGCTAAGGCGATGATCTGGTCAAAAGTGCATTGACTTGAATTGAAGTCACGCCGCTCCTCTTTTTTCTTAAGAGTAGGCTATTCAGCGGCACCGCCTTTCTAGCACCTTTGCATTGACTTTATCCGGGAGGCTCAATAAGGTAATGTCCCAGTAATTGGAGCACTCCTGATAGTCTCTCTTCTTGAATATGAATGTTACAACCCCAGTTCTCCAGTCCACTGATAGCTAATGCAGTTCGACACATACGATTTAGCCGCAATATGCTTTGTTGGCTTAAAGCTTTAAGCATTTAGAGGTAGATTTCGTCGATTCCAGCAGTTTATCACCGTTTCAAACTTTTCGTCGTTTCTGTGATTTCGTCAACTGAAAGACTGAAATTTATTGCTTGCCACTCTACAGGCGAATTTTCCTGCTTCTGC